CTTTTAGAAACGAGGTCTTTTAGTCACGCTAGATGACATGGCGAAACTAGCGATTATGATAAACCATATTATGTATTTTAAGTGGACAAGAGTCACTTTCCATGTGTGGACATGTGGTGATTTGTGGATGGGTTAAGAGGAGAGGAGGTATGGATCGGGTTTGTGGAGGGAACTAAGGTCAGGAAGAGGGGTTTGAAAAAAAATCAATGGTTTTCTAATTTTATAGAATTAGTTTAAAATAGAGATTTAAACTCCTATTCCAATTAAGCACATTGCTAATTATTAGTATTGCACACCCATAAACATTATGCATATGGCATAAATGCAACACAAGACTTATACCCTATGTCAAGTTTTAATTAAGTCAGAAAATGCAGTACCTTCTCTAATAGTTATGTCTTAGGACTAATTAATTCCGTAGAAAAATTAGATTAAAAGTGAATCAGGGTGTTCCCTTACGGAGGATTTGGTGGGGACTTGCATCTAGGAGGGGCTAACAAATACATGTACTTTGGATTAGTGTTCACCATGCTACTGTCCTGCTGTTGCCTTTTGCATGGAGAAGGTTGGAACAATGGAACATGCACCGGTGGCAGGTGTGGCCGCATGCTTTTCCCTCTCCGGCCACTGTAGTTATTGAAGACTTCCTGAAACAGCAGCACAAACAATGCTGCAACCAGCAGCTGATCGGGCTAAATGTTGCCATAAACACCACACGGTAGTTGTTTGGTCACTCTTCGTGTAGCGAATAAGCCGTGTAGTCGGTGTAATGAAACCTGCATATTTATACTTTTTTTTCAAATACACACATGTCATAAGAGTGAGGACTTTACTGTATCTAGACATCATAAGTGGCAAACATCAATTATAGTTTTCACATATGTACTAGTTCGAAGAAACATAAGGCAGGGCAAATTAGTTGACAAATAAATAATTGGTGATATGAAGCTCGGCAATACAGCCACCATATTATCACCTAGCAACCAACCATGAATACGACTGTCAAGTCAAATGTGATGATGACCAAAACGTCCATTGCACGGTCTGAACACCGAGCTAGTAAAACTGTCTTTTCTCGACTCGTGTTTGATCGTTTAAACAGCCTGACCGTACGTGCAATAGACTGTTTAGGATCTAAACTAATTTTCCCAAATTCGAATCTTTGGATAGCGATGTATGAAGCATTAAATATAAATAAAAATAAAACTATGGTATTCTTCCTTATGATTGGACATTATTTGTCAAATAACAACCTATATTTTCGAAAATTCAAAAAAAGTGTTAGTATTCGAGAAAAAGTGTGTCGTGTGGTGGCTATGTTTGTCGTTGAAACCACTTATGTAATTTGAACCAATTTGGCCTTGGGGCCTTAAATGGAATGCATCAGGTAGGGGATCCTCTCCCCCTCCGTAGACTTAAAAAAAAAACTGAACACGCTCACAGATTCATTCCTCCTTGACTTTGTTTAATTTGTATAGGGCAGCCTTCACCAGGAATCGTTCCTGATAGGAATGATCATAAACCGTTCGGTTCCTAGGGGTCCATGGCCGGATTCATTACTAAAGTTTATAAAAGCATTCCGCAGGGCCGGATTTGCTCTAAACGAACGGAGCCTAAAGGCGCAGAGCAAGTTGACTGTGTAAGTAACCATCTCTAATTGGAGTAGCTCCTTGGACTCATACATGGTGCTGCTTGATTTGGATCCTACCGTAGTTTCGCGGCCCGATTTATGAATGCTCGTTTCATGGGCTCAAATTCATGGATTTGCTGAAAATGGAGTCCACATATGCGACACCTGAGCAAATTGGGCCTAACTAAATAGTAGCCCACCGGAGCCCGACCTGATTTTTGGCCCGCGAGCCCTATGATTACTTATTCATATAGGGTCTGATTGATTGCTCGTCTTACGATAGTCTGCATAACAATCCCGTTCACCATATCCAATTCAGCTTAGTCTTACGCTTTTCAGCGTTGTTTGGTTGTCCTGTGCGGTGACTTTGCATTGTTTGTGTTTTTGTTTGGTTGCGTGCAGTAGATATCTTTTCCAGAGTTTGGTTGTTTGCGCAACAGCAAAACTGGAGATGACATTTTGTCGAACACTCTCAGGCCGTCAGCCACTGTAGGTGGCCAGCGAGCTTATCTGCGGCCACGAGCTCATGAATGCTACACGCGGGGCCGGAGGCCAGCAAGCACGCACGTTCAACAGAGTAGTAGTAGCAAAGCAAGGCTCACGCTTTGCCGGAGGCCGGGGCCGGAGGAGTAGCAGCAAGCACGCACAACAAAGTAGTAGCAAGCACGCACAACGGCACCAAGCACCTGGCGCCGATGGAGGTGTCGGTGGAGGCCGGGACGCCTGCGCCGCCGAGTGGCTGGACGACTACGGTCGCCCGCGCAGCACGTGCACGTTCTGGACGGCCAGCCCGCACATCATGCTGGGCCATCGCGCAGCTCGGCTGGGTCGCCGGCGCTGCCGCCATGCCGCTCTTCGACGCACTGGAGATGAGCCTGAGCGGAGGAAGACAGGAGAGTGGAGCCTTCATCGGCTCCGGCGTGCTCTCCCTCGCCTAGACCATCGGCTATCGCGCAGCTCGGCTGGGTCGCCGGCCCCGCCGCCATGCTGCTCTTCGCCGGACTGGAGAGGAGCCTGAGCGGAGGAAGACAGGAGAGTGGAGCTTGAGCGGAGGATGGCAGCGACCGGACAGTGACAGAGCAGGGGAGAGGAGACAGGAGAGCTCAGTCGCTCAGATCCAGATCAGTGAGGGTGCAAGGCTGTGCTGCATAGGTGGATACGCCAGATTTGAGCGAACAGTGGGATGCAGATTTAGACTGAGGATAGTACTATCCTCCATGAGGCTTTATACAGGTAACCAATCAAACCTAGTGTGCACTAAAGAAGTCTGAAGGAATTGTGCAGGCAACCAATCAAACCCAAATATTTCTAAAAAAAAAACTTATTCATATTATTACGGATCATTTCCACGGTTCTTCGCCGCCTTCAGTATCAGTACGTTAGCAAGTTACAGAGTTCGATCCCATGATTGATAAATTAGAAATATGTTGATGAATTAGAAATACAGCGAGAGATAGCTATATTCCTATGATAATTTGTCCAATTTTAAAAGTTTATTAAATATTTAAAAGAGTTACGAATTCAGCCAGCAGAAGGGCTTAGTTGAGTCAAAGAAGGAGCGGAGCCACCCTATATATAACTAGATTTTGATCCAAACAGAATTAATTATATAATGGACTATTATAATCAAAACTCTAGATTACAATAATTCCATAGTCCAGGTGAGACTAGGTTATAAATGAGGATGCTGAAAGAATAACTCCCCCCACCCAAACTGATTGTCTAATTGATAAACAATAAAAGATAAGATATAATTTTTTCACTTTAACCAACAATAATCAACCACCATAATCCATTAACCTAATCACTCTAATTATTATAATCCATAATCCTAATTATAATAATTCTATGTATAATCTAGATATATTATAATAATCAAATAGTGATCTAAACAGCTCTAAATACATCCATCTTTTTAGATAAAGGAATGTTGTTTTATAGCACTTCTGCAAATGCTGTACCTATACATAGAAGAGTTCGCCCTGGCTAAAAAAAATTCTAGCTCCATCATTAAATTCAGGGTACGTATTTGACAGTACGATGATGCTTCCTGTAGAGTGTGAGTCCATCCGGACGACTCGGCCCGCCCGCCGTGGATTCACCACCTCCACCGCGCCTCCCGCCCAGACTCGTGTCTCCCGCCGCGACCGCGCTCCATCTGCCTGCCGCGGCCACTGCCGAGGTTCGTCCCGCCGATGAGCTCCACACCAGCGACCTCCGCTTAGGCGTCGAGCTCCGCGTCAACGAGCCTCCATTTGCCCAAGCAACAAGTAGATGAGCACATGTTGCAACCCTATGTTTCATGCGTCTGAGATGTATGTTGCATGTGTTTCGTCTGAATGCTGCAAAAGTAGATCCGATGTTGCATATGTTGCAATGGCTATACACGTATGTTGCAAGTGTATGTTCCAAATGTTTCAGCTGTTTTAGACATATGTTGCAAGTATATGTTCCAAATGTTTCAGCCATTTCAGACGTATGTTGCAAGTGTTTCATCTGGATGTTGCAATGACTATACAAGATATATTGCATACTCCCTCCATCCCAAAATAAGTGTCGTTCTCGCTTCCCGATGAGTTAAACACTTTTAGTTTGACCACATATATAAAAAAAAATATTAGTATTTATAGTACATAATTAATATCATTAGATAGACCGTTGAATCTATTTTCATAATAAACTTATTTAAAGATAAAAATGTTTTTAATATTTTATACAAATCGAGTGACATAAATATCATGGCGACACTTATTTTGGAACGGATAGAGTATGTTGCAACTGCAGGACAGATGTTGCAAAGGAGATGAGCCGTTATGATGGGACCGAAGCGCGGAGGAGGACTGTGCACAACGGAGGCAGATCACGGCGGAGGTGGGGCGCGGTGTCAGGCGGGGAATGGGGGGCTGCGCAGTGGAGACGGAACGTCGTGGGCTGACGCGGGGCATAGCCAGGATGGGATGCGGGCGGGGGATGGGGCACGGGTGCGGGTGCTGTGTCTGGACACAGGCGCTGGCTCGGGGTGGGATGCTGGCGCGGGCGTGGGATGAGAAGCAGGCGCGGCGCGGGAGGTGCGTCCGGACACGGGCGCTAGCCACGCCGTTGACAGTAGGGTACCTGCGCATTACTACCTTCTTATGTTTCTGGTTTCCTCGCCCTCCGGTTTTCACTCCCTACCATTGCGTTGCGTTGCGTTGCATTGCCTCCCCTCATGGGACGAGAATGAGATCCCCTCTCGTCGGCGTAGCGCGCGCGCACACACACCAACACAGTTTCCTCTCGCTTCCCCCCCTACCGATCAATTCATTGCCCACTGGTCGATCGATCTCGAGGAAAAGGAAGAAGAAGAGGAGTAGGTAGGAGATCGATCAGGATGTTGGACACGACGGACGACATCGCGGAGGGGATATCGTTCCAGGCGTTCGAGGACGACTGCCGCCTCCTCGCCAGCCTCCTCCACGACGTCCTCCTCCGCGAGCTCGGCCCCCGGTTCATCCAAATCCTCGAGCGCAACCGCATCCTCGCGCAGGTACGCATTTCCCTTGCCATCGCGTCGCGCGATCTCATCATTCGGGAAGCAGTGTACGTGTGTTAACTGATAGATAGATAATCTGACGATCATTAATTGGGTCGGTGCATGATCGATCTTCCGGCGGCGCCGTGGACCAGAGCGCCGTCTCCATGCGCGCGGCGGGGATGGAGGACACGGCGGCCGTCGTCGAGCGGCAGCTGGAGGCCGACCTGGCCGCAATGTCTCTGGACGACGCGCTCTGCCTCGCCCGGGCCTTCTCCCACTACCTCAACCTCATGGGCATCGCGGAGACCCACCACAGGTATCATATCGTCCACGCAGACTCACGTAGCCCATATTTCGATTTCGATGCTGTTCTACACTCGCAATGCGTTTTTATGTATCTAATCTCTACATTGTAAATATGGACATGCATTGAAACTTTACAACTATACCTGCACAAATTAGGGCTCGTTTATTTTCCCTCTTTTGTCAAAACTTTTGTTGTTTTAGTTCATCTTTTAGTAAAATGGATCTAAATATTATAGGCAAAAAAAAGCAAAACCTGGGCTGTTAAACTTTTAGCATTTGGACCTAAGAGGCTCCAAACTGGGCAAAAGTGCGTGGGGGCGCGAGCCGGACGCCCACTGCCCCCGCACCCACCCATCCCACACCGCGCCTTCACATTCGCGACTCGCTCGCGCTCAGTGGCGCCGCCACCAGCCACGCTCGGCCCCGCCGCCACCGGCCGCGCCCCTTCTCTTCCCCTCCGTGCTCGCGTGGGCTGGGTCGCACCCCGCCACCGGCCGCGCTGGCTCCCGGCCACGCTCGGCCCCATCACGACTCGCCTGCACGCTTCTGCCCCACCGTCGAGCGGCAGCCCGGCTGCGCTCGGCCCTCCGCCACCGGCCGCGCTGGCCCCAGGCCACGCTCGGCCCCGTCGCGACTCGCGTCAAGATCTGCAATCCGGTGCTCCAAGAGGACCAAGGATGGTCACCCTGTGAGGGCAAATCAGTCTTCTTTGGATACAAGCAAAAGTTTTGCCATGGATCTAAACATCTCAGCCTAAAGTTTGAATGCCTAAAGTTTTGTAGCAAAAGAGGAGAGGCAAAAGTTTTGTCATTCCAAATGCATCTAAACAGACACTTAATATCTTTTCACTCAGTTCTCAAGGTTCAACCTCCCAACTTCCAAATAAAAAAACTGATGTTCAAATACTAAACTTTAACTGGGAAATTGCTACAAACAAGTGTGTGGGATTTAATGTCCTCTCCAATTAATAGACTATATTGTTCATAGTATATGTATAGTATTAGGAATAATGGCATATTGCATTGCACTAACCTCTGGGATCAGAAGTGTCTGTTCTATTTGCAGCTTGGAATCCAAGAGTTTCCGTACATATGATGGGTACGACATTGTAACGCTGGGCCATGGTTAATGATTTCCATGCGACCCCTCTGCTCAGACACATTTAACTGTAGGAGCTTTACGCTTGCACATGCTACATAGATTGTGACCATCATTGAGAATCTTATTTTATTTTTTCAAAGCCATTGATTTTTTTTTGTTGCAATCTAGTGACACAAATTCCGCGTGCTACTAATTAAGCAATAGTCAAGCGAGTTTGTGCAAACCTTAAGAAAAAAAACTGACATCAGTACTATGTTCTGTAGATGGAATTCGCATTTATTATGCATGTTACAGATTAAGTAAATATCAGTAAATTTGTACTAACATTATTTTCCGACCAATTAAAATCTGTACTGGTTTGGTAAATTAGCTAAATGCTGCAATCTATGATGAACTGTTTTTCTTTTGCATGAACGTATAGTGTTATCCTCTTTATGCAGGGTTCGTAAAGCGCGCAACGTAGAACAGCTCTCAAAATCATGTGATGATATATTCAACAAGCTCATTCAAAGTGGTGTCCCTTCAGAACAACTATATGATACTGTCTGCAAGCAGGTAATTCTCTACATCCCTAAAGAGTGCAATGCACTATCAAGCTTTTAGTTGATGTATCATTTTCCTTTTGATGCAGGAGGTTGAAATTGTTCTGACAGCTCATCCCACCCAAATAAATCGGCGAACTTTGCAATACAAGCACCTAAGAGTAGCAGTGAGTTTAACATCTATAGTTTATAAAAGTACCTTTTCTTGATTTCCCTTCATTGGTTAGTTGCAGAGTTCTGTTTCATAGGATCTCAAACACTAATTATACTCTTACACATTTTTTTTTAAAAAAATTACTGCATCGACTGTTTCAATGACCGATGGAACTACGTTGTAGCATCTTTTGGAGTTCAATGGGCGCCCTGATCTAAGCCATGAGGATAAAGAAATGCTAATTGAAGATCTGGTATACATCAGAATTAAGAGGATTTGCATAGTAATTCTTTTATTCTCCTCTTTTCTTTATCATTTCTGAACCCTACAACTTTGATTATGTAGGTAAGGGAAATCACAGCAATATGGCAGACGGATGAGTTGAGGCGCCATAAACCTACACCAGTTGACGAAGCTAGGGCTGGTAGGAAATTTAAGCATTCTGGGCTATGGTTTGTCACTCTTATGCCGTTTATCTACAATTTAATTATTTTCGTTGACTTTGTAGGTCTTCATATTGTGGAGCAATCCCTTTGGAAAGCGGTACCACACTATCTTCGCCGTGTTAGCAGTGCTCTAAAGAAGGTACACATAAAATGGTTGCCATTTTTTTTGGATTTAAATTAACATATTTTTGACTCAAGAAACCTAAACCTTTCATCCATACTTCACATATAGCACACTGGAAGACCACTTCCGCTAACCTGCACACCAATCAGGTTTGGTTCTTGGATGGGTGGTGACCGAGACGGGAATCCTAACGTTACAGCAAAAGTAAGATCTATGTAATAAGATATCAATGCTTGGTGCATTTTCACTAATCTTCTACTATTGTAATGATGTGATGGAGTCGCCTTTTCTATTAGTTTGATTGAATCAGGAATGCTGAAACAATCTGTCATTTCTACGATGCAGGTGACTAGGGATGTTTCATTGTTGTCCCGGTGGATGGCAATAGACTTTTACATCCGGGAATTAGACAATCTCAGCTTTGAGTTATCTGTCAAGAGATGCAGTGACAAGGTTGCAAGCTTGGCTAATGACATTATGCTCAAAGGTCAGTTTCATGTCAGCATCCCGGGAAGACGGCTAAGATCCACTCTAAGTTAAATAGACCACACCTGCTAATTAACTCTCTTGCGCTTTCGTCCTCGCTTCGCGCAAAAAGATCGATTACCCAAATGTCCAGGATCAATCTCTTGGTCACATCCATATTCCCAGCTCTCCGGCCCAAATGCTATGCTCTCACAAGAGCCATGCGCAATCTGTCGTTCGTGAAACCGCGATAATTGGCTCAGAATACCACACGTTAAATAGATCATTAATTAACTCTCTTACGTTTTCGTCCTTTCTTCGCGCAAAAAAATTAATCTAGAGTTCATCCTCTTCCAGGCTCAGGCTTTTAACCTGGTTCCGTTTGCCCTCAGGTTCCGATGTGGGACTAAAATCCCTCAGCTACAATGTTCCGCTGATACAGTACCGGCAACCCGAGCTACAGTACTCGTCCATTCAGCCCAACCCATCAGACCGGCCCAGCTTTGGCCCATTTAGCGGGGTTTCACACAAATCCAGATTATTTCCAGTTTCACCAAAAGTTGCTTAGTTACTGTCACCTATGACAACTGCTATATTGTTAGTTTGTTAATAGTTTGAGATGGTAACACATCTGAGGTCTAGAAAACGATCTTGACCTTTTTATTGTAGCACATGCCATACGTGATGTGCATAGTTCAAAAAAAGTTTATTGGATTATTTTTATGTTGATATTTTCGAGGGGACTCTACAGAGTCGGCATCCGAGGACCTAAAGGCCAATACCTGGAACAAAACCATACCACAGAACAATGCAAAGCTTCATCATAACTTGGCTCTGCCTGCACAGCTTCCTTCTGGTGCTGATCTTCCTTCGTGTACAGGTAGAATTCTCTATCTGCAGCAGATAACTTTATGTTCTGCTTCATATAAAAAGTATGTCAATGAAGTTTGATTAACCCTATGCTGCCTGCCCATCTTATTCACTACTATGCCTCAACCTAGATTCAATCAAATCGGTGTGTTGTAGTATTTGAAAAATTAGTTAGAGCATTCCTTAAAATTTCCATCCATCATATGGATCAGTTCAATCAGATCTTTAGTTTGTTGCTGGTTCTCTGTAACTCTGTAACTCTGTTCTTTCTTTCAATAAATTCATTTAGGGGGCTGCAGCCCCTCCAGTTTCATAAAAAAAATATCAGATCTTTAGTTAACGAGCCTCCTGTTTAACAATGATCTCTAATACCGTCTGTTTTTCCTCCAGTAGCTTCTAAATGGATTTTTCAGTGCCATATAATGTCCCCATGATTTTCTAACCTTGAGTAATTGCACTTGACACAGAATGCAGTGATGGAGAATCTCAATTTAGGATGATAAATCTTCCAAGGAACTCAAGTCGTCTGGTAAGAATAAAAAAAATTGTGACGTCCGAAAATGTTCTTTATTTTTATATGTGAAATTCTCTGAGCAACTGTTAGCAATCTATCAAATCTATGCTTACATCTGGTCAGATAGGCATACACATCAACACAGGTTTGCTGGATATAACCAGGTTTCATCTAGTTTAAATATTGACAACTTAGGTATGAAAAGTAGCGAAAAAATATGCTTCTGGCCACAGTTTCATTAATTAATATTTTTATCTAGCAAGGCAGTAAGCAGTTTCTGTCCATATAGATTTACTATAAAATTGTTTTCATGCAATAAATGTTAGTTCATGGTTCATGTTTTCCAGGGGGGTCTTAATTTAACAGAAAAATTTGAAGACAGTCCATTGTCATCTCCTACTGGCCGTCAACCACAGATAAGTAGAACTCCAAGTGGCCATCAACTAAGGAAGTTGTTCAAAGAATCTCATATAGGTCGATCAAGTAGCTTCCAGAAGCTACTTGAGCCAAGCCTATCTGACAGACCAGGAGTTACTCCTTACAGGGTTGTCCTTGG